GACTGTAAGAACTCAGGACAGGGAGTGTAAACGAACTTGTGCGTCGAGGCCGAATCGATACAAAAACCGAAAAACCAAGTCGTCGGAGATCTGGTCCTAAGTCCCTCCCTCCCCCATCCCCCCTCCCTGGTCCGAGGAGAAGGACAACGGAACTCCGTCACGCCGCCACGACACGGCGGTGCCGTCCCGTCACGCCGCGCCGTCACTCCACGCCGCCACGCCGTCGCGTCTCGGCGAGGCCGTCATGGGACGCATCAAGACATACTAGTACTATATGATCTCCTTGGAGGCGCGCGTCCGACTCAAACGTATAGTATACCCATCTTGTAATGTATCGTTTCCCGAGCGGTGTGGCCAGAAAGCGCCCGCCACGACGCATATACTATAAGATTTCTCAGTGCGCGCATCGCCCCCAGGGGGCGACGCACATATAATATAAGAATGTTGGGGTGACGCCGACGTCACACCGTCGCGCCTCGCCGTCGCTCAAGTGCCGTCACGACCCGGTCCTCGCTGCTCGGCCTCGCGAAGGCACCGTGCGGCGAGCGCGGGCGGGCGGGCGAAGGAGTCGACTGCACGCAGAAGTGGCCCTGGGCATGGGTGGCCTTTGGTGCGCGGGTTCAGAGAGCCGCGGGGGAGGCCCAAACCACGTCATCCAAGCGCACCAGCCAGCGCTGGCTGGACCCCTGTGGGCCCCCGCACCACAGGTCACTCTGGCGAAGGTTCACTCTTACGCGTCGGCGAGGCTGGTGCCGTCCGTTGTCACTGGGGGACCAGGGGGCACCGATGCCGCTACTCCCTGGACCTCTCCCGAGGCGAGGCGAATCCAGCGGTGGCGAAGAGGGCCTCCCAGGAGGCCCAGAACGGCCAAAGTGATGCAGGGGTAGCGATATCGATACCTCGTCCTCCTCTGAATCACGACCCTGCCCTCGCTGCTCGACCTCGCCACGGCACCGCGTGGCGAGCGCGGGCGCGTAGCCGAAGGAAGGGCCCCCAGGAGCGGCGGGCCACCCGCCCGTCGGACGCACGCGACCGCGCGCGGGGGGGCCCAAGCGAGGCGCGCGCGCGCGCCCGGGCATCAGGGCAGCCGTTGCAGGCGCACCACGTGGGTGTTCGGCGATTCGAAGGTGGGGGCGTGAGGTGTAGTTTTTTGGACGTTTTGCGAAGCACCGCGTGCCACAGAAAGGGGAAGGGCAAAGAGGAGACAAAAGGCCCGCCACCCCGAGTTTCCCGTTAGGGACCCCCCCAGCCGCCTCAGCCCTCAAAAGGGCAGGAAGGGGCGCCTCCAAAGGTGGGGAGGGTGGCGGGCTTCGCTCCCTGAGGGCAGCAAAAGCCTCGGACGTGGCGGCATGGGTCTTGATGGGGTCGGGCGCCACTGTTTGCGGAGCCAGCGGGCGCAAGCGAGTCGAGGCTGGTGCAGGTAAAGGTCGGGCTGCAGGCGGGGCGCGCAGGGAACTCATGGGGGCACAGCGGAGGAAGGCGGGGACAAGGCGAAGAGCCGGGAGCCGCTCGGAGCGTGCAGTCCGTCGCGGGCGTGCTGGGGAATGCAGGGCGCTACGGTGGAGGGCGGGGCGCTACAGCCAACGTCTGTGACGAAGGCGGGCGGTGAGGACGCCAGGGGCCTTGGCCGCCCACGTTGGCATGCTGCAGGCGGCAGGTAGGCTGCCAACACCCCGGGGACGCTAGGGCACCCTCACCCACACCCGTCCTTGCCGAATGGGCGTTGCGCCGCGCCCCCCGAAGGAAAGCCGTGAGTCCTTATCATCGACTTTCACTGCTAGAACAAGTGGCCTCAGAGAGTGAACCCTGAGATCCGACGTAGCGGCTACGTAGCGACACAACTGCAACACTGTGCAGCGTCACAGCCAAGGGGCCCGACCCCATCTTCCTGCGCCACCTGTTGAGCTAGGCGACCGATCTGCGATGGCCCTGGGGCCCGAAGCTGGGCGAGAACGACTGGCTCGGGAGAAAATTGAAACAGCAGGATCTCAGGCAAAGCTCAGCTCGTGCTTCTCCTCCTCCTCCTCCTCCTCCTCCTCCTCCTCCTCCTCCTTCCCCTGGGCGCGCGCCGCCGATCCGTGCAGTGGGCTAACCTCACGACTTCCCTGGGCGGGATGCGCGTCTCGTGCTACAGCTTGCGACCACCCTACCCCTCTCGAGGATCCTCAGAGCGCGTGCTAGAGCCAACGTGTGGTCATCAGCCGAGGCCCTCCAGTACGACGCAGGCGGTGTAATGAGGGCCGGCGCAGGCTTCGGCCTCTCGGCGGCGCTGAGCGAGGGAAACACCACGGGTGGGCGAACACACGTCCAGAGGATCGTTGACCTTCCCATCCTCTCGCCATCGCTCGGACGTCCATTATTCCCTGTGTTTTTGTTCGGTTTCGTGCGTGGTTTTTTTCGCCAAATGGTCGAGGATGCTCCTCGATGGTCCTCGCCGAGGACAAAACGCACACGTCCGAGCGATGCCAGGTCCTTAGGACCCCATCCCATCAGGGCCCCACCTTCGAACCGCCGAGGTGTGCAGCGTGGGCAGCACGCGGTACCGGCCGCTGGCGGCGACGCTCGGCGGCGCACACCCGGGGGGGGCAGAGGGGCCCCCGGGGAAGCCCGGCCTCTGCCGCTGTCTTGCCACGCCTCTGAGATCCGACGTCGCGAACAAAAACTGCAACATCGCAAACACTAACGACCAGAGCCCTATGACCCATCACCCTACACCATTCTTCGAGCCCGATCGATCCGTGCGGATCCTGGGGCCCGAAAGTGAGCGAACACATCCCGTCGTTAAAAAAGAATTGCGACGCCCCGATCCTAGGGTCCTCCTTCTCCTCTGGGTTCCTTCGATTGCAAAAGCAAAAACCACATAAACATAAACTTGTGGCGCTCCGCGCAGATTTCTTGGATTCGCGCTGGACCCCCCTCCCTGGCGCGCGGAGCGCGCCAGGGGCGGCGCTGGAGGCGCCGCCGAGGGGCCCAGGCGCGGATCCACGAAATCAGCGCGGAGCGCCAAAAGTTTCTGTTTATGTAATTTCTTCTTCTTCGCTCGGTAGCTGTTTGGCATCGGGAGGCTAGATCACACGCAGAGTGATAGCCAGCCGGCCAGCCTCCCCCCCGGGATGGGGGGGGGGCCTGCGAAGCATGGGAAACCCACAGATCGCCAGAAACCCCTTAGGGAGTCTGGCGACCTGTGGGTTCCCATGACTCGGAGGTATGGGAAACCCGTAGATGGACGACTGTCTGTTTTTCTGCCCCTCCTCCTCCTCATTCTCCTCCTCCTTCTCCTCCTGGGCCCCTGGGGAGGGGAAGGGGAACTGGCCGAGAGGGGCCAGGGGCCCGCGAGCTCTCAGCACGGGGCCGGTGCGTGGGAGGGCGCCTGCCGAGAGGGCAAGGGGGGCGGCCTCCCGTGGAGGGGCCGGGCCCCCGTCTCTCCTGGGAGGGCTGCCTGCAGAAGAAGGCACCCCGAGATCTCGGCGCAGAACGGGCGCCGTCGCCAGGCTGCGGGCCCCGGGACCCTCACGGACCGATCGGGCTCGGAAAGGAGGCAGAACGAGGGGGTGTGGGGCCCCCGTGGCGATTCAAGAAGGTGCTGCATGTTTTCTTGCTGCGTCGGACCTCGGGGAAGGATCGAGAACCGGGGGGACCCAGCGCCGATCCAAGAAATCCGCGTGGACCTACGAGTTGTTATGTTTATCATGCCATCGCTTGTTCCCCGAAAGAATCGATGATCCTCAGAACGTGTGTTTGCGCCGCCTGGGGCGCCAAAGCGGCCTGCTGGGTGGAGGGCCCCTGCGCCTCGGCCCGCGCCCTTCCTTCGGGAGCCCACAGAGGACGTACGCGCCCAAGCACGTACACCCCTGCTTAGAGTTAAGAACATGTTACGCTGATAAAATGGACTTCCCTCCAAGCGTATTCTTAAACAGTAGCTCAGGTCCAGATCTACGCAAGTTCTACGACAAAAAGGCGGCTCCTAGAGAACACCCAAGGTCCAGTCCAGATTACTAATCCTCTTACGCGACATGTGGAGTCAATGAACGCTGGCGTCTTTTTCATGCTGTCTGACGGGTGTACATGAACACGGCCCCCCAGTCCGCGAGACCAGCCGCGTGACACGAACGTTCGCGCAATGCGTGTTCTCGAAACAAACGGTAGATTCGTGTACACGTGCGTCCTTGCTTTGGGAGCCCACGAAAGACGTACGCGCCCACCCACGTACATGAACCCGGTCCCCCAATCCGCACGAACGTTCGCGCAAGGCGTACTCTTCGAATAGGGAATCGACCACAGAATTGATTTACCCCGTAATTGATTTCCTCCTCGACTTCACCAAACATACGCAGACGGTTCCGAGATCTACGGAACGTTCTACGACTTCTTGGTAGATTCGACGAACAATTCGTTCTTAGGTAAAGCAATTCTGTAGTCGATCCCCCATTCGAAGTCTCGAAATCAGCGCGGCTTCGTGTACAGTGGGAGCTCGGCCACAAGGAACCTTCCACAAGAAACCCGACCCTGAGACCCCAGGGCCCCCTTTGCTTCTCGGTGTGGGCATGCAACGCCTTCCATCGCAAATCCATCGAAACCCACGAAACCCTGTAGGCAAGCAGGGTGTTCCTTTGCATGGGTTTCCACTGTAACCTGCATTCACTGCCGACGTGTTGTGCCAAGCCCTGTGTTGCTTGTCACCCGCGACCGCCCAAGTCAACTGCAAGCCGATGACTGCTACGCCGTGGAGCAGCCCATCAAGAGGCCCACCCCAAGGGGAGGAGGCGGAGGAGGAGGAGGAGGTGGAGGCGGAGGAGGAGGAGGAGGAGGAGGCGGAGGAGGAGGCGGAGGCGGAGGCGGAGGAGGAGGCGGAGGAGGAGGGCACCCTGGAGGCACGCAGGGTGCCTCCTGGCATGGGTGCCCGCTGCACGCGTGCCTCCCTCCGCCCCCCCGAGGACCGCCGTCCCCCTCGGCCCGCGCCGCCCTCCGCCCCCCCCCCCGAATGCGCGCCGCCGAGGGGCTGCCCGGGAGGAAGTGCCGCATCCAGCTCTGGCACGGCCGGCGCACGACGCGCCCGCCCCGCGACACCTCGGGCGGCTTCGGGGCACACGACTCTCGGGAGGGGGCGCAGGGGCACGCCCCAGTGTGTGTTTGGACTCTCGCCTCCCCCGCCCCCCACGTCCCGTAGTCTCCTGTTTTTGTTGTCCCTCGGGGATGGAGGATTGCTTGTGTCTGTGCTTGTTTGTTGTTCCCTCCTCTGAGACTCTTGCGCGCCACCGGAGACGAAGCCAGGACAAGGATGAATTCGGGTGAGGATAAATCGAAAATCTCTGAGACTCGGCGGCTCTGGAAGCTGTCTCGAATGCTGTGGCCTTCTGAGCGTTCCGGGACGCTCGGAGAGCGTTCTGGAAAGCTCTGGATTCCAGATCGTGGATAACTCCGCTCCAGGAACGGATTTATCCTCGTCGTAGCCCCGTCTGACCACCCCCACAAACAAGCTGGTCCGGCACAAGACCGTGGAGAAGGGGTTGCGCGCAAAATCGGCATCCTCTGGGGACGCGATTCATTAACACCACCCCGACGGACAAGCTGATCCGGGACAAGGTACGCGCGCGGGGGCAGGGGCCACAAATCTTCCCCTGGAACGCTGGATGAGCGTGCATCGGGGATCTCATCTGGCAGCCCCTGAGACCTGGGCCGCAGAGGTTGTTTCACGACGGGCGTTTCCGCCCAGTCTCGGGCCCAGGACCACTACAGATCGATCCCGCTTGGAAAACGCAACCAAAACATTTCAGAAAAAGGGCCATTACAGATCGATCCGGCTCGAAACACCCAGCAAAAGGATTGGGAAAGGGGCTCCGGTCGCGATTTTGCGCGCTGCTGTGAATCTTGCGCGACGTTGGATCTCAGGGGCCCGGGGATCTCTGAGAGCTGGCGGGGCTGGAGGACGCATCCTGCGCCGCGGCTGCTCCAGAAAGCGCTCCGAGGATGCGCGGTAAGGATGCAAGGGCCGTGGAAGGCCATGTCGACACTTTGCGAGCGCGGCGCGGCCAGACGAAGCGGTCAAGAATGGACCGAGGAGGCAAGGATGCAAGAGTACCCTGGGGAAGGATGCCCATCCTTTCTGTGCGGGTTGACTGTAGGCCTCCCTGAGAGGGGTCAGCATCGAATCGATAAAGCTCGGACCGGCACGGAACAGGCACCGAATCGGGCCAAACTGGCACGGAGCCGGGATCGGACCGGATCGGCCACACAAGCATCGGCCGCCCCGGATCGCCGTATATATATATATATATATACACACACACATATATATATATATATATATATATAGGTTAACTGCTACCTTCGGTGGGAAACGTTTTTGCTACCACATGCCACTCGTCTTGGCGAAGCTGAGACGCAACTGACAGCCTGCCGTCAGAGCAGAGAGGAAGACAAGGGGGGGCGGGAACCGAAGAAAGGCTATGGAGTCCAGGGGTCCCCCATTTAGATTGGTTCGTTTCTGACCTGTCTCATCAAGTCATTTCGCTCACAACCTTCCCGTGCACGCACTGACAGGTTAACTGCTACATTCGGTGGGGAACGTTTTTGCTACCACATGCCACTCGTCTTGGCGAAGCTGAGACGCAACTGACAGCCCAAAATCCCAAAGGGTTCTCTGGGAGGGCGAGGCGGGTTAAAGGAAGGATGCCGCCTCTTGATCCCTCTGGCGGCACAGTAAACAGTTCACAATGCAGTCAGCCAGCTTCGGAGGATACGAAGCTGCCAGAGATGTCCACGTGGCCCCCGAAGGGGCCTTGCCTCCAGGATAACGTGGGGCTTCCCTGAAGCCGAGCAAACACCGCCAAAACTGTGGCACCGCCTTTGGACTTTCAAAGTGTCCTGGAGGTCCACTCCGAAAAACAAAAATCGTGCACGCTTCCTCCAGCGGACCCCAAACTGACACTGATCACACACGAGACTTCAGTTCAGGCGTGTGCCAGGTTCTACTGCATATCGGATGCTCAAAAACAAAGGGCACCTGCGAGCGGGCAAGCGCCTTCATTAATTTCAACGCGGCTCGAAAGGTGGCGTTTCCCTGTGAGATTCTTCTAGTCGTGTACTCGGAGGCGTCGGGGAGGCCCCAAGGAAAATCCTCCGAGCGACCCAGCTGACGACCCCGATCAGCCGCAGTTCCCCAAGACGCACAAGGAGGCCCAAGAGACGCGGCTATCACCTCATGCCTAGATATAGCGGCCCTAACACGCGCAAGCACGACTGGTCTAGTAAGGTCCTCATTGGGCCCATTGAGACTGTCAAAACCATGGTAGTTAAAACCTCGCTTCAAGGCAGCCTTACCTATCGAGTTCGAACCCGAGAACAGATCAAGAATGTACTTACGCTGGCGGCCGTGCCGCCTCACAGGGTAACTGTCTCTGCACCTTTTCCGAGCAGTATGTCTTCTAGATGTAGCTCGCACTGTGTCAAAGTACCTTGCAGCTGGGACGGCAGGAGAAACCAGCTTTGACCCAACCTCGCCGCCTTCTCGTAACGTTGCGTTGACTTGGCGTGCTTCCACTGGCCTCTTTTCTGTATCTCCTCGATCGTTCTGTATCGTCGAGCGTTGTCTATACTGGGCCCTGAGTGTCTGGCTTGATACGGGGCAATGTGCTCTCGAATCTGTAAGTCGCTCAACGCTTTCTTGAACACTGCCAGAAACTGTGGGTAACTGAACGCCCACATCTTTTCTTCGGGATCCCCTCGGGCGAGCTCTCGGAAGATGGGCATGGCACACTGAAACCACCCGCTGTCCAACATCACCCCGACGTCCGACAGTCCTGTCTTGCTGCTCTGGGGCTTGTCGTCTGGAAACAGCAGCAGCGACCACCAACGGCGCACTCCCATCGCAGGCGCGATGATGTTGCCTCTCGTCAGCGTCAGCAGATGACTGGGCCTGAAGTAGCCGGAGACCATCGTGAGCAGGAACACCGCCATCTGCAGCGCGCCTCGCACCACCATGCGCCAGGCGAGCCCGCGCCAGAGGGCCAAAGGCCATGCGCGGCGGCTCCGCCCGGGCGCCAGCTTGCGCCATCCTCGGAAGCACCTCCAGGCCCGAGGTGTCTTGGCCTCGCCCTGCTTCGAGAACTCCGGGAACCTGTACATGAGACCTGCCATCACCTGATCGCCCTTGGCGCTCTCGTGGCCTTCGAAGAACAGATGGTTCATGTAGTCGACCATCGCCTCGTCCACTTCTGAGGCCGTGGTCAAGGCCCGCGGCGGGCCCTGATCGCAATAATCCAGGATGGCCTCCAGCTCCTGAGTGTAGCGGTTCCTCGCAGGTCCGAACACCGACCGCCTCTCCAGGAACGTCTGGCCCTCCACCGCCGTGCTGTCCTGTGACGCCTCCGCGCCGTACGCGCGTCGCCTCCGAGCTGCCTTTCTCAGCAGCTCCCTCTCGCGCCTCTCGCCGGCTGGCACAACCTGCTGATCGTCGGAGGCGCTGCTGCCGTCGTCGCTGCCGGCCACGATCGGGCGCGACCAGTCCTGGGGGAGGGCTTGGAGGTCGCGCTCGTGCTCGGGCAGTTTGGGCGCTGGCGGCAGCTCGGCCGAGCTCAACCTGGCCTGCCAGTCCTGCGCTCTCTGGGCCGCGGTGAGCCCCGGCAGGCGCTGCGGCCCTCGGGGGGTCCTGCTGCCCGACGCTCGCGCCACCAGCTGTCGGGAGGTCGGCGCTGCAGGCTCGGCCGACGCGGCCCTCTCCAGCAGACGCGGTCGCCGCGCTGGAGCCCCGGGCGGAGGCGGCGGGGCCTCCCGCCGCAGTCCTCGGCGCAGCATGCGAAGACGAAGGCCCGTCGAAGGAGTGGGCCTGCAAACAGTTTTGAGCCGAAACGGGATACGAAGACGTCAGACCGCACCTCGAATACACAGGCCCAGAGCAAACATGGGCACCAAGAGACCAGTCGGACTTCTCGGGCAACTCGGGCAGAACAAACTGAGCTCTCTGAGGGTCACACTGCAACGGGCGCTGCACAGAATTCTCAGGCGGGTAAAAATGGAAGGGAGCGCGAACCTCGGGGGGACCTTCGAACCTGGACTCCTCTGAAAAAAGCGTATCGGGAAGAAGTGCACCAAGAGACTCCTTAGCCCCTTCCTTATCAAAAACACGAGACCCATAATCGGCGGGATTCAACTCAGACGGAACCCGCCTCACAGACACCTTCAGATTCCTTGCGAGACAGTAGGCCTGAAACCTGCGGACCTGGACGAGGAGAGCAAACTCTTTCGCACGACTCCTGTTAAAAGATAGTACAACTGACATGTTATCCGACAAAATCAGCTGACGGCAGGCGGCACCGAACGCAGACTGGGCGATGCGACGGACGCCCATCACCAGCGCTTGGGCCTCCTTATTAAGGATGCCCTCCTCGAATCGCCAGCGCTGCACCTGCTTGGTGCGCCAGCGGCTACTCGCCAAGCCCGCGGCGGGCACCTCGGGGAAGGGCGGGTCTGCCCCCCACGCAGCGGCCTGCTCGTCGTCGTCGATCGCGCCCTCGGCCAGCCGCCACTCGCCATCGGCGTCGCGCCAGAAGCCAGCCGCCTCCAGCGCCGCCTCTCGCGCGCCGCGGCGGGCAGCAGGAGCGCCCCCGGCAGCGCCGTCGGTCTTGACCGTCGCGGGCCCCCGGAAGCGGGCGCGCTCCTGCGCGCGACCCACCTCGGCCACCAGCGATCGGGGCCAACGGGTGGTCGAGACAGCTCCTGCCTCCAGGCTGCTGTCGATCGCCACCACCAGATCGTTCCACTGCAGCGCCCAGTCACTCTCTAAGAAGATGAGGAGGCCTCGGAACGCCTCGAGCTCCTGGCGGGCTTCGAGCCACAGCATCCTAGGTTCGGCATAAGACTTCCGCATGAAAGCATAGACTGTATGGAATACGCTCAACGTACCTCTGCTCAGCAGCCCCGCAAACGCGCAGTGGCCCACCAGGACCTCAACCGCCCAGCCCGCGAGGCGGCGGCGTCGCAGGAGGCCGCTCAGGGCCTGTCGAATGAGCCAGAACCGTTTCTGCGTCACTCTCGTCTTCCAGAGGGCCCCCGAAACCTCGGTGCCCAGC